GAAAGTTGTGTATCTAAAATACGGAGAAAAATGTTCAAAACAATGAACTCAAAAATATAAAGGATTAATGAATAATTTTGTATTGAATTCAGATAATTGTACCTGATTCATATTTGTGTCCTTTCATTTTAGGACAATATAGAGAATATATACATTAATTATTAATACATCATATCTAAGCATGGTATAATAGAAATGAGAACAGTGAGTGAATCTATAATTTCATAATTTACCTATTGAATTATGGTATTTAAATTTTTCTGCTTTTATGTTGTTTAATATATCAACACGACAACACGTATCAAATAAATAGATAAGTGTTATGTCCTGCAAATTTTTTTTTTTTAAGGGGCCTCCAATAGGTAGTTGCACCCCGGCCTCCTGAGACTTAGATCCGGCATTGTACTTATCGAACGTACAAATGCTCGTGTGCGGAAGTTAAATTTATATGATTAGATTTATAAGGATTATATATCAGATAATAACCTAACCGTATAGATAAAATGTAATACCTAATACTTAATTTTGGGTCATAACTGTTTCTAACGCAGTATAAATTCATAACACATTAGTTCGTACGTTTTATACATTTTAAGTTTGATTTTATTTTATAATGACGTGGTCGGTTATTAAATTATTCAAATTATTCGAGTGTCGTGAAGATGGCCCGTTGTCAATACCAGTTAGTGAACGACTTAAATTGTGGGGGTCTTATAGCAAAAAATAACAGTCTCAAATGCAAAAACGTTCATTTTGCTACATTGTGCCCGCACAGAAATTACGCCGATGGATTTGTTTTGTGGTGCAGACAGTGGTCCACAAGTTGATTTACCCAGGTTTTGAAAAAAAAATAATTGTAAAATTCGTTATAAACGCGGAAAATAGAGCGTTGCGCGCATGCGTATAACCGTAAAAACGCAAACTTCGGGGGCTTTAACTATCAAAATAATGGTTTCCGCCAACCTTTTTTTTTTGCAACATCGTTTTTAAAACGTTGATTTGTCTAGGTTTCCAAAAAAAAATTCAAAAATTCGCGTGGGCGCTAAACTAGATTTGTTCCGCAGTCTGCTGTCCACAACCGCCGACCGTCGCCGTCACGCGCACGTGAGCTCGCTGTCCGACGTCGCCGCCATCACTGGCCACTGACCGGGCCACCAGAGCGACCGCCACTCGACGTCGCAGTTTTCCGCGACCAGTCAACGGCCGGCCGTCACCATAATTGGTATATTCTCATTTCTCGACATCACTATCACACTCACGCTGTCACGGGAAAACGGATCACCCTAAGAAAAAGCACGGTGCATCGAGGACCATTGGCGTCCGCAGGATTTTTCAATGGGAGGGGGGGGCTTGAAAATTAGTTACATATTTATTTTTATTTTGTCCAGTCTAATAATTTCAGACGTTTATTTGAGGTATTTTAAAATGTTTGTAACTTTTCAACTTTTCTGGTAGAAAATATGCTCTTATCATAAGCTTCGATGCCCAGTGGTCGCGCCGGGAACGGAACAATAATAGACCGTGTGCCCGGTCAGCGCATACCTACTTCCGCGCAACACTCACACACCGACCGACCTATGTATCTTTGTGTATAATATGTGTGTTAGCACTCAACAGGAATTGGACAGGTTCGCCGAGCAAAACCTGTGAGTGCTGTGGTGTAAGTGGGTGTGTAAGTGTGTATACGTGTGTGCGTGTGTGTGCTTAAAACTATGGGACATAAGGGTAACTCTAAAATGGTAACACGGTTTTTAGTGATGAGTTGCTGTTGCTGTATAATACACAAGAATAATGACACAAATATATAAAAAATCACAGCAACACAATAGGTTTTAAAAAATATGACTAATAATATTGAGGCCCTTCTGGCCCAACAAGATATAATAATAATGGTAATGTGCCAGCTATTTGAGCTATGGCTGGTATATAAATATAATAATAAATAATAAAAACTCACAACTTGGACGGTGCACGGCTGGCCAGCTGCTACCTATCCTATATAATACTGAAAATAATAGGTAGGTACACGTAAAAAATAATAATACACAATGCTATAAGGATTGCCTTTCTGGCTCACAATAATAATAATAAAACAACACTGGCGATATGTGCCTAGCAATAATACTAAAGGTGGCGATTCGCGAGCGCGAGACAATAATATAAAACTTCGCGGCGATTCACGCCTTGTAATTAAACAAATATTATAACACTGGCGATCCGCGCCTTAACACAATAATAATGTATTAATTTATATATACGAGTAGCGATTCGCGACTACGGCGATATATAATATAACAAACACGGCGATTTGCGCCTTAACACGATATATTAATATACAGGGTGTATCTTATGTCATTGTACGCTGGGTTTTTTGACGATTACGGAACGATGATATGGAATTTCGTTAAAACGAAAAAAGACGTGTTTCTTTATTTTTAACAAGCAATTTTTTTATAACAATTTCAAAATTTTTAAACACGCAGGTGTACCAATAGCAAAATCAACTTTTTTTTTTCAAATGGTAACCACTATATTTTTTAATGGATTCTGGTAAAGCTTTTTTTTCTGAACATTTTGGTAGTCGAATCGTCAATTTTGGTTCGCTAGTTTATTAACTATGGCCCTCCAAAGATAAGTAAAATATGCATTAATACTTTTAATTAAAATAATGGGTATAGGTTAAATTTACAAGCGCTAAACAATTTTTTCTTATAACTACCATTTGATACACTACAATTGTTGAATCGGTAATCTAATGACACCCTCAAAAAAAAAAAAAAAAAAAAATAACAAACATAATTGTTTGTAAACATACTTCATTATTTTTATTTTAACATACGATCATAAAAATCAATATTATTATTTTAATATCCAAAACTAAAAAGGATGGAAAGGGCTGAATTACAACTCCTAAGTTCATACTTTGGATGCGATACCATTTTAGGGAATCTATGGTTAAAATATCACGTTTATACTTTATACCACTACGAAAAGAGCACCACAAACATTGCACTTTTTTCGTTGCACATATTAATGTCAACAATCGAATACCATTTACCAATTTACCATTATTACCTTAGCTACCTAAATAATTAAGAATTCAAATTTATGATATTGTAAGAAAAGTAACTGTGATGAAAAAAATGTAAAGTAATTAATTACGATTATAATAATTAATTAAAATAATAATATTGATTTTTATGATCGTATGTTAAAATAAAAATAATGAAGTATGTTTACAAACAATTATGTTTGTTATTATTTTTTTTTTTTTTGAGGGTGTCATCAGATTACCGGTTCAACAATTGTAGTGTATCAAATGGTAGTTATAAGAAAAAATTGTTTAGCGCTTGTAAATTTAACCTATACCCATTATTTTAATTAAAAGTATTAATGCATATTTTACTTATCTTTGGAGGGCCATAGTTAATAAACTAGCGAACCAAAATTGACGATTCGACTACCAAAATGTTCAGAAAAAAAAAGCTTTACCAGAATCCATTAAAAAATATAGTGGTTACCATTTGAAAAAAAAAAGTTGATTTTGCTATTGGTACACCTGCGTGTTTAAAAATTTTGAAATTGTTATAAAAAAATTGCTTGTTAAAAATAAAGAAACACGTCTTTTTTCGTTTTAACGAAATTCCATATCATCGTTCCGTAATCGTCAAAAAACCCCGCGTACAATGACATAAGATACACCCTGTATATATTGATGGCGATTCGCGCCCTGCACAATACAATCTATGTTACAAAAAAAAGACGGTTTCCGATGACACCGGTGCGTGAAACTGGACTGCGGCGGCTGTGTTACTCCTCCAGACGGCGAGGCGTCGGCGGGCGCATTACATAATTCACTTATCTACATTTATCACATTTATATTACATAATAATTCACGGACGACACAATTTACATAGAAAAATAAAATATACAATAATTTGTGCTGTGTGTGTGTGTGTGATGCGGTCGGTGGGGAATGTCATCGCGCATTCGGGTCTCAACACCCAGTGTATGTTTTTGGAAGCAAATTGGATCTAGTTGGTACTTTTAGGAGGTCGAAATTGAATCTGCTCAGTGCTTTTAAAAGTACCTAATTGGAGAAAAAAAAATGAAAACTTATTTAAATTGTTTGGTAACAGTAGCTTGGTTACAGTGACGTATTTATGGTGGGGGGGTACGTGGGATAGATCCCCTCCCTTACCCATTTTTTCCATGTATAAAGTACAAACTGCTGCAGTACTGTTGTTATTTATAATTTTGCTATCCTGTGGGCATGTGAAAGACATTACACAACATTTATTATTATTATATACCTTACATGGAGTAACTAACAAAAAGTTGCAACAGCACTAAACAAATGTTGATATCCCCCTCCTCAAGAAAATCCTATATACGCCCCTGCTTGGTTATACCGTCCTCACTTGGGTTGTATTTGATTGATTAAAATTTTTTGAAGTTATACTTCTTTACGCACGGTAGTGAGGAAAAAAAATGCGAACGGGCGGCGTGTACGAACGGGCGGCGTGTACGAACGGGCGGCGCGTACGAACGGGCGGCCGTACGAACGCGAAAACGTACATGTCCGTAAATAAATAAATATTGTCATGGTAATGTTGTTTTATTATATAATAATAATATATATAATAAAATATATATAATAAAATCTATATAATAAAAAAAAGTGGCCATTTCTCGAATAACGCAGTTTCTTGAAAACTACTACTCAGATTTTCTTGAAATTCAACATAGATATTCAGTTTGAGCTCATAAGTATCAGTCTGAAGTCAAAAATGGCCTAGGTATTTTTTAACGATCACCAGGGAGTCAGAAGTGTAAATTCATTGGTTTATAAAAGAAAAATAAAGAGTGGCCAATTAAAGGTCAAATTATAATTTATAATTGCCATAGCAACAAAATAACAGTAACAATTCATTTTTTTTAGAAAAAATAAATCACCAATCTTTCTTGAATTTGTAATCATTAAAAAAAATAGTTGAATATGCCTAAAAGAAAACAACATATTGGAAAAAATTCTTTACTAAATAAAAGACAGAAAAAACTCAAGAAAACACATCAAGTTGAAGATGATATAATAGAAGAAACAAAAAAATCATCATCAAATCAGAAACAAATGAGTCAACGTACAGAAAGAAGAAAGTCCAAAATGAAAAAAAATTTAGAAATGAAAGCATTTAATTATGATTGTAGTGACGTATTTAATAACGATCATCGTATTTCTATTGGTCTTATGGATATTGAATGTAAGTTTTGCAAAGCGTTAAAATTTCAAGATGAATCTGATAACATGTGTTGTGGAAAGGGGAAGGTAAATTTGCCTGATTTGACTATTCCCGAAGAGCCATTATCAACGTATCTATCTGGAACAACAATTGAATCAAAACATTTTCTAAGTAATATTAGAAAATATAATTCGTGTTTCAACATGACTTCATTTGGTGCGAACAGAAAGAAAGAGTCGGGTTTTCAAACTACATTCAAAATTCAAGGACAAATTTATCACAGAATAGGATCTCTTCTTCCATATGATTGTGAATCATCATTTTTACAAATATATTTTATTGGTAATGATGATATACAATCACAACGTAGATGTTCGATCGTTCCCAATGTGCAACACGAAATAGTTCAATCTTTACAAAATTTTCTAAATGAACACAACGCATTAATAAAACTTTTCAAAACATCATTAGACAATATGCCGAGTGACGAATGCCAAATTGTACTTCGTGCCAACAAAATACCTTCAAGTGAACAAGAAAGACGTTTTAATTTACCAGTTGTAAATGAAGTAGCTGCTATAATTAATGGGAATGAATTTTCAAAACGCGATATTGTGTTACAAAAACGTAGTAATGAGTATGTAACAGTCCAAGTGTAAAAAATATACACTATAACTAACGGTTTCGTGAAAAAAACAAATACAAAGTTTAATGATTTAGATCATGAATTTGAAATAATCTTAACAGAAAACTCTAAAATTATAGAATCGAAAGAAGATGAAAATATACCAAAAATTGATTTCAATTTTATTAAAATAAAAGATCTAGCTAATATAAAAAGCAATTCTTTAACAGGTATTTCAAATATAATTTTCAAAAATATAAAAAAAGAACAGATGAATCGTTATTTCCCCATTTCAGATATTATAGCGATCATCAAAAGTATAAAAGGAATAAAAATATCAACAAAAAATGGATTACAATTAAAGAGACAAGATATAATTCTTATTGATGATTCACAATCTAAGGTGATGTTAATTAAGATATACAAATAAAATAACATAAATGTATACTTTATGGAATAATACTGATAAAATTTTACAGATATCATTAACATTATGGTCAGATCAAATAAATGATTTTGAAGGAGAAAAAGGTGATATTATTGCTATGAATAATATCAAAATTAATGAATTTAATAACATTAAAAACTTAAATTTAGTTCGTTCAACTATTGTTATTATAAACCTTAAAATACCAGAACAAAAAGAGTAAGTAAAAAAGACTATAAATAAATAACAATTAATAACAAATTTACGATCATTTCAGTCTCGAAAAATGGTATAGCAAAGAAGGAAAATATATCAATGAAAATGAATTTAGAAACTCTTCAAGTCAAGATCAGAAAACATATGATTTCAAAAAATTCAAATCAATATACAATAGTCCAATAAATACCATAATTGGTAAGTTTATGAGAGACATTGTGAATTAATAATTGATAATAAACATTCATTGTTCATTCAGATATTATCGCCAAAATCTATGACATCAAAAAAACCGAAAAA